TATCCAGCAAAGCTATCTTTCCAAATCAAAAAAATAAAAACCTTCCAAGATAAGCAGAAACTAAAAAAAATCATGACAATTAAACTGGCTCTTACACAAAATAGTAAAGGAAATACTACACACAGAAAAAATAAGAACAAACCTGGAAGTTTCCTTAAATGGACAAATCTCATTTGAATCAATGATAAGTAGATCAAATTAAACATTTGAAATAATTCATAATGGCAGAAATTAATAAATATTTATATATAACAACACTGAATGTAAATGGTCTTGACTCTCAAGTTAAAAGACATAGGCTGGCAGAATGGATTAAAAAATAAGACCCTGACTCTGTTGTTCTCAAGAGACTAACCTCACAAGAAAACAATAGGCTGAAAGTGAAAGGATGGAGATGGAGCCTGAAAACAGTAACTACTCTCATATCCAACAAAGCAGACTTTAAGTCAAAAATAACCAGAAGAGACAAAGAAGGTTACTTCATACTGGTTGAGGGAACAATCCAACAAGACAATATAACAATAAATATCTATGCCCTAAACATTAGTGTACCTAATTACAAAAAACATAACACTACTTGAATTAAAACTTAATATACTCCACTATGATAATACTGGGTGATTTCAACACAATTCTCTCATCAATAGTAGGTCATCTAGACATAAAATTGGCAACTGTGTCTTCAGGTTTGTTGGGCAATGTCCTTATCCTCTAAATGCTCCATACTCAGATATGCCTAAGGGCTCCCCAAAATGCAGGTTCCTTTAATTCTCTTATCCCTCTACTATGCTCACGAGGGACCACTCCAGCTATAGCTTCTGGCCCAGCTATGGAGCGCTGTGCCACTGGGGATTTTTTTCCTTATTTTATTGTATCCAACCTCCTGTATCCCTGGTCTGCCTTGAATGTCCAGTTTTTATTTCCAGTAAAGTCCCCCCCCCGACCTTTTTGTTGTTTTTGTTGTTCACCCACCTTGCAGAGAAGCTGCCTGTCTGCTTTCTTGGTTTCACATTATGGAATAGCCACGAACACAACCTCCTCTCAGATCTATTTATCACATATTAAATCCACCTTTTTACATTTAAAAACTCTCTTTTATACTTAAAAAAAAGTCACTGGCTGGATCTGACTTAGAGGCCAAAGTTTGCGAACCACAGATCTATCACTGTTTCTCAAATTGGGCTGCATAATAGAATCACTTGAGTAGTTCTTAAAAGTACTGATATCTACTATTATTTGGTTCTACAATATTTAGTTCTACTCCCAAATATTCTGACTTAATTGGTATAGGATTTCTTAAAAATCCCCCATGTTAATATGTACTAAAATTTGAGGACTAATGCTCTCTACCACCCCTATTTCTGCCTAATTGTAAATTTTTGGACATTAAATCTTTTCAGTACATTTTGCATGACTGGATTAACACAGAAATCTTTTCATTTCTATATAAAATTGGCAGTATAATTAATAGAATGATAATCAAAAGATAGAAGTTTTCATCAACACATCCCTGCTCCCAATAGGAAACCTAACCCCAACAGATAAAATGAGTCAGTAAAATAAAAATTAAACTTGACAATGAGTTGAGAACTCATTGAAAGAGCTGTTATTTTTAATTACATTTCTCTAGTTGCTATAGATGTTGAATGTTTTTTCATATATTTGACCATTTGTATTTCATTGTAAACACATACTTCACAGTAAAGTGCTTGTTTAATTCCTTGAACTGCAAATTAAAACTACATTAAGATTCCACTTCACTCCAGTCAGAATGGGAATTATCAAGAATATAAGTAACAATAAACATTGGCGAGGATGTGGGGAAAAAGGTTCACTCAGCATTGCTGGTGAGACTGCAAACTGATGTCGTCTATGGAAAACAGTATGGAGATTCCACAGAAAACTGGGAATGGGGCCATTATTAGACCCATTATACCACTCCTTACTATATATCCAAAGGAGCTAAAATCAGTATACTACAGATAGCTAAGCTATGGTACCAACCTAGGTGCCCTTTAACAGATGCATGGACACATACACAATGGAATATTACTTATGCATAAAGAAGAATGAAATTATAGCATTTGCCAGTAAATGGATGAATCTGGAGACTATCATGCTAAGTGAAATAATCCAATCCCCCAAAAACAAAGGCCAAATATTTTCTCTGATAGATGTAAATTAACACACAATGCAGGGAAGGGGAGCAGAAGTTCACTGGATTAGACAAAGGGGAATGAAGGAAAGGGACGGGAAATGGGATAGAAAAGACAGTAAAATTAATCAGACATAACTTTTGTATGTTCATATGTGAATACTCCACAGAAAACTCCACATCATGTACAACTACAAAAGTGGGATCCTAAATAGAATAAGTTATACTCCTGGTATGTATAATGTGTCAAAACACACTGTCATGTATACCTAAAAAGAACAACAGAAGAAAAAACACTGTGATTTTATAAATATACACAAAAAATATTTCAGAAGGAAATAAAATATTAGTGAGGATGTAGGGGTAGAAATGAACCTTTTTCTCTGCATACTTTTTTGAAACTTTTCAATTTTATATCAGCATATAGAATAACTTCCTGAAATAAAATGAAAAACAAAGTTAAAAAAAAGTACTGGAAGAAAAAAGTGAAACATGGGAAACTTCAGAAAGTAGAGTAATAACTTGTTAAGGCTATGAAAAGTATAAACTATCATAAATCTTATCAATTCAGGATAATTAGAGGAAACCTATTTAAGAAGCCTCAGCTAGTAGAGTTCTGCTTTAAGGATTAAAAATTTACAAATGGCTTCAGAAGCTTGCATAAAATATTCTCTTAGGTGCTTTAAACTATCAAACATATTTTATACTGCGTAATTACACTGTAAAGGATTTTCAAAGAAAGTTATAAATTCTTTCTCGGCTTTCTCTGAATATGAATTTAAATTAAATTTTAAAGCACCATAATTGCTAGTTTCCTGAGAAAATATCTTTAAGTTCCTACTTCGATTAGCACAATCTGAAGAGCCACTTTATGCTTGTCATCTTTCCCAAGCAAAATTATTTAATATGTAACAAGTGTTTGTTCATAATTAATACAAGTAATTATTAAGGTTAATATTGTTATAATATAGTCAAGTAATAGCCCATTTTAAAGACATACTATATTTTTATTCTTACTAATGCTCTTATTTCAATTTTCATCTGTGGTAGTGTTGTAAAAGTTTTAACTTTGATTACGTTTCTATCTGCTCAGAAACTTTCATATAAAATATATCTGCAAACAGTAAACAAGAACACATACATACAAAGTCCCCTCATGCATTCAGTGAACAGTGTGTGTACAATAAGTATTCATTGAATGAATGTCCACTTTATAAATGATGCTCAAATTTTTTACTGTTCTTTTTGTTTTTCAGTACTAGGGATTGAACCCAGAACCTCATGCATGCTAGGCAAGTAGGCAAGTACTCAACCACTGAGCCATATCCACAGCCCTCAATTCAAGTTTTGACCATGACTAAACCCAACTTAAATGATGGCCACATATCCTAAGAACTTCAGAACAAAATCCTTGTGATTTTCTCATGATTCTAATTTAAAAATAAAAAGTCCAGAAATCTACTGGGTATCACATAAAATGAAATATAAAATTACTGTTGGAAGCAATGTTTCTAATTACTATGTTTCTATTATCAGGTATTCATCAGAGATAATCATCAGTATGTATGTATGTCAGCCATTCATTTCTGCATATGATTAATAATGAGCTAAAAATAAAAGGAAATTAAATGAAAACTGCACCACTAAAGCTCCTTCTACCAGATAAACTCCTATTTACATTAACTATGCTAATGTATGTACTACATGGTTACTATTATTCACAACTTACAATACAGACACTAATTCAGTATGTCTTTTTCCTTCTACAAACTAGAAAAAGATACACATAGCCTTCCTAAAATAGAAAATGTCCCTTTTCCATAATTACAATATGCACAGCTCTTAACTGAAAAAAGGAAGGAAAACTTACTTTAAAAATTATAAACTTAGGGCTGCAATTGTAGCTCAATGGTAGAGTGCTTGCCTAGTATGTGTGAGACACTGGATTCAATTCTCAGCAACACATATAAATAAAATAAAGGTACACTGACAACTAAAAAATTTTTTTTAAAAATTATAAACTTAAAACTATCATAGATGAGGTATATTTAGAAAGGACCATAATTTTATTGATCAATTAATCAATTACCCATTTTGAATTTTGTCCAATCTGATTTTAAATAATTATGAAGCAAAATTTTTCATTATGGCTTCCTGGTAAGTACTACATCTTTCCTTCTCATAGTTTTCTGGTAAGAAAGATTTCTTTAATTGAAATTATAATGTAAGCAAACTGCATTTTAAAAAGCATTTTGTCTATTTAAGATGAAAAACTCAGGACTTCTAAAAATATTTATTATCCCATTGCTTCCATACTTTACAACATTGTTCATTAAAGTTACAAAGAATAGTAATGATCAGTGTTAGATAAATTTACCTTATTTTTTAAAATTCTGGATTAAATTAGTCATAATAACAAACTAAAGTAGTCTTAAACTAAAAATGGAAGGAAAAGTATATTATTTTAGATAGAAAAAATAAGCAAAGCAAAATTAAGAGAGAAAAAAAGATAATATATAAATAAATACTGTAAAAAAAGGTGAACAGTGAAGTAATTTAATCTGGAAACATTATGTAATATACTTAAATCACAAACTTATTTACAAGTGTACATATATGTGTACAAATATTGTTTCCTGCATAACCACAGAAAAGTCAAAACTTATATGACTTGATAAGACTCAAATAAGAAGAACATTTACAGTAATATTCTTTGAATTAACATCAATTCTAGAACAGTACAAAAGGATCATTTACATTACTATGTTTAACAATGCTAAAATTGTGTTAATTGGTCAGATTCACTTTGGCACTGACTAATAAAACATAATACCCATATTATATTTCAATCAGAATCAGAATTCTCAGACGTATTATCACTAATGGTGGGAAAAGTTCTTAAGCCTTGTTTTCTTTCAATTCTAAGTTGGTGCAAATGTTCTTTCATATCCTGAGAAATGTGGCAAATTCGTCCTTCAATGCCAGGTACTGCAATTATTGATGATGGTTTATTTGACTCTTCCTCAAAGGCTATAAGTACAGTAAAACCAGTTAAATTCATCATGACTACAAAAATAAATACTTAAAAATTATATATAACTAATGAAAAAATTTTAATCAGAATTTCTCTGAATAATCATTCTTCACTATCAACTGTACAACCAAGAATAAAATTTCATCATTTACTAAATGTATATATTATCAAAAGGATGTTAATTCATTTTTATTTTAAAGATTATAAAGAAAAATGATAAATATTTGAAGAGATACATGTATTTACCTTGATTTGAAGATTACACCATGTATGGAAACATCCTAGATACCCCATGAATATGTAAACTTTTTAAGAAGAGCTTTCAAAATATTATTATATATATTCTAAAGAAGATTATCAGTTCAGTGTATACTTCATTTAAATGAAAAGATGTACTAGATTATATATTTTATAATGTGATATTTTTAATTATATCTTCTTATTTCATGTTTCAAAGAAACCAAATGGACACAAAGTATGGTTATTACCAAGTATGGTCATTAAAAACCTTATTTTCTTGTATTAAAAATATGTAATTTGCTTTCAAAACTATGAATATAACTTTCAGAAAATGGGTATATTTAGGAAGACAATTATTTTATCAATTAACCAATTATAAAAACCCATTATGAGTTTAGCCCACTCTTGTCTTTAACTATTGTTAACTGATAATTTTTAAAAGAATAAAAGCTCTAAACCAAATCAATAAGATGAACTCTAGATGGCAATGAATAGTGCTTATCAAATAGGAAAAATAAACAAGATATTTTACAGGATGCCAATCTCACTAATTAGAAGTTGGGAGGGAGTAGTTAAGATAGTGAAAGAGTAGAATTTGAAAAATATACAATTTTCACTTATGTGAGCTTTTAAGCTTTGAATTTTTGTTTTTACCTTTCTTATAAATGTTTGTATTTTCCTTCGATCTAGCTTTTTACACCTTGGCAAATAAATCTCAGCCTTTATTTTATTCCTATTTCCCAAAATATATTAAAAACAAGAAGCCAAAAACTATTTTCCAATGCCCTGAAGGTAATAAAAAATTGCTCAAAAAAGAAGCACTTCTAATAAAAGAAAACTATATTATCACCTGTTAGTGATGGTGATTTGCTTGTAGTAGTAATTAAACTCATTCGATGACCTGAAAGGCACTTCTTCCTCCCCTGCAATATTTTTATTGACTCAAAGTGATTCATGACTACTGTAGAAAGTACTTGTGCAGTTTCTGTGTCAAACATTCGAGGACAACTTTTAAGCATACTGTAACCATCCTTCCCCTGGAATATCAAAACATTTTAATTTTTAGTCTAAAATATGAATAAATTAATGTATATCTTTTAGATTAACTGTTGGGACTGAAGTGAATATCATGCACATATACCAAGACATACATTTTCTTTTATGTAAATTGATATTCTAAATTCTGACCCACTCCTAGGATCTAGACAATATCCCCCTGAAATTATCCTTAGCTCTGTTGCTTAACAGCCTTAAGAGAATAGGTCACCTACCATAAATATCTAAACACAGCTGTGGAAACAGCCTCCCCTCAACTGGGAGATCTTCTTAGACTTGGATACCTGAACCTATTTGAAACTCATTAAATGAATAATAATGTGGAATAATAATCCGACAAGCTTCCTGTCGGATCTTCACTGTTCCAGACTCAGATACAGAAGAACCCACTGAATCAAAGTCCTTATAAATTAGTCATCAAAGTTTATTCTACATGACTAAATATGATATAAACAAAATATGTAAATGTGTTAGAAGTGTTTATCATTAAATTTAAAGTTCAGCAATCCTTTATGGAATTTTTTATTCTGGCACTTTCAATCATTTAGAGAATAAGCATGAATTTCAGATGCTCTGTATTTTTAAATCTAATAATAAAAACAATGAAATCATACCTATATGTAATAAATTTAATTATCATAAAAATATAATGGAAAATATTTATTTAAATTACAGAGGATCTGAAATAATCAGAAAGAAAATTATGTTTTTATATACATTAAAATTAATATATAGTAACATAAAATAATGAATTTATTTAAAGCCTTTTCAAAAGAAATTAATCTCACATTTGCAATATACTCTTTAATAGCAAGGAGGTAAATTTTTTTTTTCTGTAAGTATTGTCCTTGAACTTTTACAGTATCTCTTATGATTCGGTGTCCTGGTTCTGCATCTGGATCAAATCCAAACTGTATTCCAGCAACTTGAGGAAATCTGTAATTTAAAAATATATTCTTGGAATTCTATAAAAGACATACTAAGTAAGAGAAATCATTAAAACTTTAAGTGAGCACATTTTATGCTGCTGAAACTGCCAATGGGTGTAAAAGTTAGAGATTACACAACTGGGAAGAACTTGCCAAATGTACTAGATTTAAAAAAGTGGCAGGGGGATGATAGTAATTCTAGTTTATTTTATTCTACTTAAAAAGAATGTCAAGAATTCTATTCTCAGACTCAGGAGATGGCAGAGTGGATCTGGGCAGCAACTTGTAACTGTACAGCTCAGAAATAAAGCAGTGAAACAACAGCTGATCAGACAGGTGAGTGACAAGAGTAAAACTCAATATTGGACAGCTTGAGACTTGGAGGAACTTGGAATTTGGATACTGGAGCAGAAAATGGGAAAAGAATTCCTTAACCCTGACCCCTGACCAGAGGGAGGTTAGAGAGAGGAGGAACAACAAGAGAAAAAGGGAGAGAAAAATCCCATAAGCTTACTTCCTTAACAATAGTCAGAAAGAAAAGCAAACCAAGTTAAAACTACTGATGCAACAGAGACAGTGAAAGAGTTCAATTCAAATTATGGGCAGAATGCTATGCCTGGCAAGGCAGCCATTCTGTAGAGTCCACAGCAAGGTGGCCTCCTTAGAAGAAATTAAGTTAATATAGTTTCTTCCTCCACCTAAACAAAATAATAAAATCATACAGAATGCTTCTGAAACAGGTTGTTTCAGTAATCCATCTAGAAGGAATTTGTAGAGTGATCTCTGTTGGCTGATGATTACTGGAACTCCCTCCCTTTCACTGCAGACAAGAGGAGTAAGATGGAGTCTTACCTGAGAGCAAATCACTCCTGAGAAGTGCTAACTCCAACCCAGCCTCATGGAAGTTCAGGCAAAGATGGACCAGCTGACACCTAAAATCCTAGTAATTTGCAGCAGCCAGGATGGAAACTTCTGTGCCAAAAATCACGCACAGAGATCCTGCACTCACAGGCCCAAGATTTGCAGACAACCACTGAATCCTTGGATAGGGTTATGACAAGTCCCAGCAGAGAGAAGTCAGCACCCAGCATTTCACAGCAGTAAGCATAACAGCCCTGAGCCCTGACCCAACAGAAACAGCAGACAAAGCATCTTCCAAGAACCCTGACTTTGGCCTCTTGACTAATAAGCATCTATTGACAAAAACATCGCAACAACACAGCAAGCAGCTCCTGTACCACAGCACCTCTAGGAGGATCCACAGCTGCAAGTCTAATAGTTGCCAGCTCAATTCTCATTCAAATATTTGGGCCTACAAAAGGACATTTCCTGAGGATAAAACACACAGCCAATGGAGAACCTCAGGGTCTAGGCTGAAAAAAATAGTGGAAAGTCTAATTGGTTTACCTGCAAATGTGACCTCCCATTTTTCTCTTGTGCTTTTTAAAATTCTATCCTTGTATTCATTTCAATTATAATGTATCTTAGAAGGATCTTTAATCTTGTCTATTTGGAGTTCTAAATGCCTCTTGTATTTGAATTTCTATTTCATTCCTAAGGTTTGGTAAATTTTCTCATATTATTTCACTGAAAGGGTTGTGCATTTCTTTGGTTTGCATTTCAATGCCTTCTTTTACACCAGTGATTCTTAGATTTGGTCTCAATGCTATTCCAGTTTTTAAAATATTTCTGGTCATGGTCTCTTAACATCTTTTCCTTATTGACAACTTTATTTTCAGGATTATACATTTTGTATTCAAGGCCTAAGCATCTCTTCTATGTGGTATACTCTATGGGTGATGCTTTCAACTGCCTTTTTAAATTTGATCTATTGAGTCTTTCATGTAAAGGATTTCTGTTTGGATCTTTTTCAGAATTTACCACTCTATTGAAATGATCATTCGCTTCCTATATTTTCTTAGTTCATCCCTTATATCTTCTTTTAGTTCACTGAACATTTTAACTAGAACTTTCTAAATTCTTTATCTGACCTTTCCTCCACTGTGGTGTCCAGTGGATCAGTTGTTGAAGTGTTGTGGGGTATTTGAGGTGGCTTGTTCCTCTGCTTTTTCTTATTGTTTGTACGTCTACTCATTTGCTGGAATCATTCCCTCTTCTACTTTTATGCAAGGAACTATTTAGTGAGAATGTTTCCTTTAAGTGCTACAGGCTGGGCAAATATCCAAGTATTGATATTACTACTCAATGTGTATTCTTTGTTATGCCCATAATCCAACATCACTTTAAGATACCAAACCCTAAACTTCAATCACTTCTGAGCAAAAGCCATATGCTAATAAACCTTAGGTAAATAAAACTTACTGAAAATGTTCTCCACAGTTTCTCTAATCCAAGTATAAAATTGTAATAATGTTCTTAAATAGATTGGAAAACTAATTATTAATAGTAAAATTACTATTATGCTATATAGTTGAAAGGGGGATAAAAGAAAAGTGGGCAAAGAAAAAGAAAAAAGATAGAAAAAATAATAAAAACTAACATAAAAAATAAAAATGGGGGTGGGGGATTTGAAGTAGGAGCATTCAAGGTAATTCAAGAGGGAAAATAGAGACAAAGAAGAGCAAAAACAAATATAGAAAGAATGATTCCAGTTAATGCTTACAACATTAGAAGAAGTACAATCAATTGTGTTGAGGTCTACAATACTGAATAATAATGGAACATTTATCAATGCAATATGAAAAGTTAGATCAAACCAGACAAGAGTTATTTATGATACCGCATGCCAAGATGGGAAGATTTCTTATTAAGTCTTCTTAATTTGGACTGCATTAGGATTTGGGACTTTTACAAGATGCCCACAAAATTCAGTACCCATTCATGTTAAAAATGCTAGAAAAAGTGGGGACAGAAGGAACTTACTCAACATTATAAAGGCTCTATGTAGCAAACCTAAAGCTAATATCGTACTGAATGGAGAAAAATTGAAAAAAAAATTTCCACTAAAATCCAGATCAAGACAAGGCTGTCCACTCCCACTCACCAYTCCTATTCAATACAGTTCTTGGAACTTTAGACAGAGCTATAAGGCAAGAGAAGACAATTAAAAGGAATAGGAAAAAAGAAATCAAATTATATCTGTTTCCTGATGACATGTTCTTATATCTAGAAAACTAAAAAAACTTCACAAGATTTCTAGAGCTGATAAACAAATTCAGCAAAGCAGCAGAATACAAGATTACCATACAAAATCAATTATCTTCTTCTACTCCAATAATGAATCTGCTGAGAAAAAAATCTGGCAAAGTATCCCATTCATAAGAACTGCAAAAAAATAAGATACTTGGGAATAAATCTACCTAAGGAGGTGAAACACCTCTACAATGAAAACTATAGAACACTGAAGAAAGAATTTGAAGACCTTAGAAGATTTAAAAAAAAAAAGACCTCCTATGTTCTTGGATGGGTAGAATTACTATTGTCAATGATCATATTACCAAAAGCATTGTAGACTCAATATAATCTCCACCAAAATACTAATGATGTATTTCATATAACTAGAAAAATCAGATCTAAATTTATTTGGAAAAATAAAAGTCTTAGAATAGCCAAAGCAATCCTGTGCAAGGCCAGCAATGCTGGAGGCATCACAATACCTGACTTCAAATTATACTTCAGAGCTATAGTAACAAAAACAGCATGGTACTGGCATCAAAACAGAATTGAAGACAAATACAGTAAAAGAGAAAACACAGACAAACCCACATACATAAGGTACTGAATATTCAACAAAAATGTCAAAAACATGGTAGAGAAAACATAGCCTTTCTAACAAATGGAAAAACTGGTTATCTGTATGTAAAAGAATGAAACTAGACCCCTACCTTTCACTGTGCACAAAAGTCAACTCAACTCTATGTAACAAAGACCTAGGAATTAAACCAGAAACTTTACAACTGCTCGAAGAAAACATAGAATCAAACACTACAACATACTAGTGCAGGTACCTGGCCCCCTTAACCCCTAAAGCTCAAGAAATAAAACCAAGAAAAAAATAAATGAGATGGCACTAAATGAGAAAGGTTCCACACAGCAAAGAAAATGTGAAGAAACAGCCTACAAAATGGAATAAAATCTTTGCCATCCACTCCTCTGATGGGATTAATGTCTAGAATCCATAAAGAACTCAAAACATTTAATATCAAATGAATAAATAACTCATTTAATATATGGGCAAAAAATCAAAACAGAAATTTCTTAAAGAAGGAATACAGATGGCCAACAAATAAATGAAAAAATGTTCAACATCCCTACCAATCAAGGAAAAATTGATCAAAGCCACATTGAGATTTTATTTCATTCCAGTTATAATGGCTATTATCAAGAATACAAATAATAATAAAAGCTGGTGAGTATGTGGGGTAATTGGTACACTCAAATTGTTGATAGCACTGAAAATTAGTACAGCCACTTTGGAAAGCAGTATGGAAATTCCACAAAAGACTAGGAATTGAACCACCATATAATGAACTACCACATTCCTTGGTATTTATCCAAAAGAATGAAAATCAGATACTACCATGATACAGGCACATCAATATTTATAGAAGCACAATTCACAATAGCTAAGTTATAGAGCCAGCCCAGGTACCTTTCAATATAGGAATAAATAAAGAAACTATATAGGTATACATATATAATTGAATTTTATTCAGCCATAAAGAATGAAATTATGACAACTGCTGGTAAATGGATGGAACTGGAGAACATCATGCTAAGTGATATAAGCCAGACTGAAAAAGTCAAGGGTCAAATGTTTTCTATTTTATGCGGAATCTAGAGCAAAATAAGGGGAAAAAATGGTGGGGTGGAGAATCCCATGAAAATATAAGGGAGATCAGTGTAATAGAGAAAGAGTAATGAATAGGAGGGAAGAAGAATAGGAAAAAGGAGGAACTATAGAATGAAATTGACCAGATTATGCTATATACATATATGATTATACCAAGTGCATTCACCTTTATGTGTTATCTATAAAGCACTAAT